CCCCGCCCGGTCCTGAGCGCGCTCGTGCCCAGGTCTGGACTGCGACATCGACGTTCCCAAGACGATCCAGCTGGTGCGGCGGCAGCGCTCGGGGATGGTGCAGACCGAGGCGCAGTACAAGTTCGTGTACCTGGCGCTGCAGCGGTACATCCAGGGCGAGCAGCTGCGTCTGCGCGAGCAGGTGGGGGCGGGGCCGGGCTGCGGCGGGGGCTCGCGCGGACGCCGCATGGTGACCGACAGGCCCTCCTCCCAGCGCGAGCCGCGGGAGGAGCGCGACTATCTGGACGTGGGCATCGGGTCGGCGGACCCCGGCCGCAACGCTGGACCCCTGTCGTCTCGGGCGCCGGCGGCGTGAGTAGGGTCGTCGGGGAGCGGGACCGGGCCGGGGTCCCCGTCGGGAGCGGGCAGCGTACGGGGCGGGATCCCGCGTGGGCCCCCGCCGAACCCTGTCTCCGCCCGCAGGACCCCGGAGGCCCCCGGCGGCGAGTACGAGAACCTGCGGCGCCTCGCGCGGTGAGGGGGCTCCGCGTGCGCGCGCCCCGGGTGGGGCCGGAGCCGCACTGGAGGCTGGGAGCCCGCAAGGCGGGCCGTGGCGTTCCTCAGGACTGTGTTTAGGACCTACAGGCTGGAGCTTGTCCCTGAGTGCCGGGGGAGGGGTCCCTCCTGACCTGGCCTGGACGCCTAGAAATGGGGAGGGGCAGTCGGGAGACCCTAGTGCCCCTGCCCCTTCTGGGGCTCCCAGGTGAGGGAGGAGCGGGAAGGCAGGGCTTCAGGGCTGGGGTTTGTCTCTCGGTATGGGAGGCCACCAGTCATGGCCTGCACGACACAGTGACCACGTGTGTCATGAGTGGCCAGTCTGTGCTTGACCTGACTGTAGCCACCATCAGTGTTTGCCTGCCCCACCCCCATCCTAAGCACCCACCCCTGCTTCGGAGCTGCCCACAGCGCAGGTGCATGTGAGATGCTCCTGCGAGCACGTGTGCGACCCCGTGTGCCTGGGTGAGGCTCACGTGTGCGCATGACTGGTGTGTGACGGGTGTTCCGTCAGTGGCATGTAGTCTGTGCCCCTCCCATCGCGGATGGCCCTGTGGCTTTGTGGTACCTTCAATAAAATGACTCGTTTTCAGTTCTGTGCCTTTGTTGGGGTCTGGGGCCCAGCTTCCCAAGGGTCTCCCTGAGCACTCTCCCCATCCCAGCCCAGCCAGAGCCCCAGCCATCCCACCCACCTCGGGGTGAGGGGTGAGGAGTCTGGGGAACCAGAACCAGCCTGGCCTCTCTTCACCATGCTAACTGGTGGTGCAGGATTCCTGGGACCGACAGCAGAAGCCAGTGGGGGTTGGCAGGACTCCTGCCCATCCCTCGAGCTGCTGCACTTGGCCCCGGGAGGATCTGCGAGAGGTCTTCAGGATCTTCAGGACACACTGGCTGTCACCATTTCTGCTTCTGTGCGTCCTTAGGCTTTGGTTCGCAGAGAGTCAGTCCTGGGGTTCTGTGGCCCTCTTGTCAGGACTCTCAGCAGGGCTGTGGAGTCATGACTTCTTGGGGGGTCCAACTGGGGCGTGTTGGAGGAGGGGTCTGGACCGTGCCAAGGCCCCACCCCTTCCTGCCCACCCCACCCTGCTCCAGCTGCCCTCCCCATCTTCCTGGGGGAGGGGGGCAGGACTGCTCCAGCCTATCCACAGCCCACAGGGAACAGGAATTGGACACCCTAGAACCTGGGGGCTATCTGCCCTAGGGGCTGCTGGGATTTCAATCCAGTGGGAGTGAGACAGGGGCAGACCATGGCTTTTCGGGAGGGAGAGGCTCAGTGGCATGGGGAGGAGGGCACACAGGGTGAGGACTCCTTACCAAATGTGGATACAAAATAATTTATTTAAAAATGTGCAGCTCAGATGGGCACTGGAGGACTGGGCCTCCTGCTGCTGCCCTTTGTCCCCCTAGTCAGAGGGCAGCATTAGCACCCCAACCCAATGGAAGGGGCCAGCCCTGCCTGGGGAAGGAGCCATGGGTGAAATGTGAAAATAAAATTAAGATGGTGAGTGCCATCCCTTCTCAGCAAAGGGCTGCTAATGCAGGTAATTCACAGTGAATAGAGAGGGGGCCTCATCAAGGCTGTCTCTCCGGGATGGGGGGTTAGGGAGGTGGTCTCTGGGACCCATAGGAGCCTGTGATTCTTGGAAGCTTCAGGGACCCTTTTGTCCGTGCCATCAGGATCCAGCCCCCCAGAGTAGGGGGAAGGTGAGCTGAATGGGTATATGGGGTCCTCAGAGATGTTGGGGCCCCTCCGGGGTTGCCACGCCTGTGACCCCAACTGTGGGCCAGGGACCCACACCTGGCGCTGGGGCAGGGGTGGCTGAGCCTAGCGGTCGGCCAGGGGCCCAGGAGAGAAGGCAGCGGTGGTGGTGATGGTGGTGGAGGGCCGGGGGACGCAGTGCAGGTCCCCAGTCTTGAGCGCGCACTGCACGGGCCAGAGCACCACACAGAAGAGCACCAGCAGCAGGGCCGTGACCAGCGCCACGCGCCTCCAGTCCCCGCAGCGCGCCCCGTAGCGCGCCCAGCAGCGGGCCAGACGGCCCTGGCGGCGGGCAGGGCGCGGGCTGGGTGTGGGTGCAGTGGGCTCCGCAGGCTTGCTCAGGCCCACATCCACACACACGAAGCCAGGTGCTGGAAGGCCGGGTGTGGAGGGCGGCAGGTGGCAGCAGAGCTTAGTGCCCTCCAGCCACACGGGCTCCTCCCGACGCAGGTGGGCCGGCATCCTGGCCTGCAGCTGGCGGCTGGTGCGCAGGGCGGGGGCCCCGGCAGCCGGCACAGCCGTGGGCTGCCGGCAGAACGGGCAGGGCACGGCCTCGCTGCCGGGCCGGCCTGTTGGCTGGGCGGCCGCCAGCCGTGCCAGGCACTCCAGGCAGAAGACGTGTGTGCAGGAGAGCTCCTTGGGCGTCTTGAAGATGTTGTCGTAGCCGGAGAAGCAGATGGAGCACTCCAGTGGGGAGGCCACCTTCTCCGAGCCGGGGGTGCTGGGGGACCTGGGCACCGCGGCTGTAGGGCTGGGCCGACCAGGGGCTGGCGTGGCTGTATGCCACGCCTGCTGGCCTGATGACATGACTCCGAGCTGTGGGACAAATGGAGAGCCCTGTGAGTGACCGCAGGCTGCCCCTTCTCTGCACAGCCTGCTGCTCTCACCCTGCGTCTCTTTTGCGCAGCCCAGCCCCAAAGATCTCTGGAAGGACACTGCCCACCTGTGGGCGCCTCGGGGAAGGCCCATCTATGCCAGAGTCAAGGTCTTTCTGTTCAAGTTGTAAGCCTGCCCCCCACCTCCTCACATGCCAAAACAGGGGTGAGCATCCCAGGGGCGCTCTAAGGAGGGTCTAAGAATGGAGGCCATGTGCACCAGGGTGTCGTGCTGACCGTTCAGTGGACACCTCCTGCTGGGCCTGGCCTACCTGGCAGTGCCACCCGGGCATAAATAAAGTCAATGGCAACAGCCCACAGCAGTTGCTATTGACGTCCGGGCTCTGCCAGGCTGGGCCCAGGTCACGGGACACAAAAGAGCCACAGCACAAAAATGGCAGCTCAGAGGGCGGGGTGACCAGCCAGGGTCACCTGGCCAAGACATCGGCAGGACCTGGGCTCTCAATGGAGGAGTGTGACTCTGGGTTGGGTGAAGTGGGTTTGGACATGGATCCCAGCGTGGACACCTGATTTGGTTGGTACACTCCCAGTTTTCAGGCAGCTGCATGAGGGTGGGGTGCCAGGCCTGGCTGGGTGAGGGTCAGGACTCCGTCTGGGGACCAGGGTGAGCTGGCAGGCTGCGGGAAGTCGAGGAGGGCCTGAACAGGGGTGGGGGCCAGTGTCCCAAGGAGGCTTTGTTTCCCAGCCTCGCCCGAACCGGCAGGGCCAGCTTGTCTGGCTGGTGATGCGGGCTTTCTGCTGGCCCTCAGGACCTAGAAGTGCACCTCAGCCTGAGGAGCCCCAGCCATCCCCTGGGACGACCCACCACCCTGCAGGGTCACACAGGCACACAGCTGCCGTCCTCCTGACCCACTCCCATTTCCACAGGAGACCCTGCCTCTGTCTCCCTGGCAAGGCTCAGGGGACCTGCCTGCTGACCAGGGCCCTGTCTGGCCCTGTCCCTTGCCCAGCCACATGGGTCTCGCCTGGGGGAGGACAGGTAAGGAGGACAGTGGACAGACCCCATGGAGCCCAGAAGGACCCCCCTGACCCTATCTTGCTGGTTAGTCCCGGTGGGTGAGTGCAATGAGTTTGTGGTGAGGTGTCGTAAAGGTTTGGGTGTTGCCTCGTGATGACTCTGACCACCGTGAGTCACAGTGACATCACTGTGATGTCACGAGTGCTCCCAGCATTGCAACATGAGGTGTCACCACATTTGGGGACGATGGTGGCCGCAGGCTAGGCAGCAGCCTCAGCATGGTCTGGGGGGGGGACCACAGGCTAGCCTCCTCCAGGCCTGTGTGCCCCACACCATCAGTCCCTTGGCACTGAGGTCCCAGCCCTCCTCAGAGGCACCCCACCCTGAGCCTGTACGAGTGAGAGGGGAGTGCCTGAGCTTGGCCTTACCTGGTAGCCGGGGGTCGTCAGCAAGGCCTGAGCATGGTCCTCTTGGGTGGCCACCACCAGGCTGTGAGGCTCCGAGCTCTCCTGTCCAGCTGTGTTCGCTCCCTCTTCTCTGGGCTGGGCCCACCTGTGCTCCACCTGGCAGGTGTCCCTCCACGGGGCTGGCTACCAGCAGGTGTCCTTCCTGGGGGCACTGCTCTGGCAGGCGTGCCCTCCGCTCTGTCCCAGGCAAGCGGGGCTCAGGGGGATGGGTGCGCTCTTCCAGATGAGAGCACTGTCCGAAGCAGGTGTGAGGTCTCTGGGTGTCAGCTTCGGGCAGGTGTATTTATACACTCGAGGTCATATAGGCCAGGGGCGTGGCCTGGGGCCTCCGGGATTGGCTGGCCTCCCGTCCTCACCCTGGCAGGCTGGGCAGCGGAGGGCAGGAAGTCAGAGGTGAGAGATCAGAGCCTGGGGTGAGGCTGGGGGGGTCAGTGTGGGTTTCCACAGCCTGGGCAGGTCTGGGGTGCTGGAGTCCTGGGTAAAACCTCCCCCTGGCAGCCCCTGGGATGCTGGGGCAGCCGTTCCAGAAACAGATCCGCTCACTAACCCTATTTAAGGCCCCGGTGGCACCTGAGTGCTCAGGTGGGCCTCCCAGAAGGGCCCCTCCGAGGAGCACCCCCAATCTCAGCCTAGCTTGTCACCCCCACCTCATCCACACAGCCCACTTACATGTGTGTGTCCCACCCCAATGTCCACCACACGAGGGAACTTCCTGCTCTGGGTCTAGGGAGTCGGGTGAGAGGTCAGGGCTGGGCACCCCCAAGGGGTGGAGTTGGGGTGAGGGTGAGTCAGGGATCAGACCAGCCACAGGACTTTGGGTGGGTGTCTGCTGGGGGCACCCGGTTACACACATGGGGTAGGGGCACTGAAGCCCAAGGAAGCCCCCGACACAGCCAGGGGGTCCAGAAATCTTCGTGGGCAAAGGGGTAATGGCTCCCGCCAGTCAGACCCCAGGAGCAGCCTATGCAAAGGCCTGGGGCTAAGGCAGGGGGTGTGGGCGGAGGGTGTGGGGGCTGAGGCTGGGGCTGGGGTCTAGCCAGTAGTGGGGCTTTGTGTCCTCGCAGCCCTGTCGCCGCTGTTCTGACAGTGGGAAGCCTACCAGAGAATCCAGCTCGCGGCCAGGGGAGGGGCTGCTCAGAGAGGCGGTGGGGACCCAGAAAGGGGCTGGGGGCTCAGTGTGGGGAGCTGCCTTGTGGGCCAGGCCCAGCTTGTGCATGACAGGGCTCTGGTTCCCACGGCGATCGTGACTCGGGGTCACATGCTGCCTCCAGGAAGTGTTGTCTGTGCCTCTGCTCCGAGAACATCCTCCCGAGGGCTCCTGGGAATATCCGAGTTCTGAGGTCACTTGAGCTCCTCAGTGGACAAGTCAGTGCCCAGAGGCACAGGGAAGACCTGAGGAATGTGCCGTCTGGGGTGGCGGCCAGGCCTCCTGCACGGGAGCAGCACCCAGCCCCCGGCACTGGGACCTTGGCGGCTCCGGACCCGCGACCCACCTGCCCCCACACACCGGCTCATCCTCCCTCCTGGCGGGTGGGCAGCCGTGCTGTGTAGATGCGGGGGCCGCACATGGACCCCGTGTAAGGGGGTGTCGCGCACCAGCAGGTTAACCTGTGCTTGAGCGTGAATGTGTCCACTCAGGCGCAGGTGCATACCCACGTGTGAGGGGAGCATGGCTCTCAGTGTGTGACCCCACAGCCCTGGGACTCGGCTGCGGAGAACACAGGTCCCCAGTGAGCACCCCACCCCTGTCCATTCGTGGCTCTGAGATGTGGGGGTCCTGAGTCCCCAAGACACCTAGGGGTTCTGGGCTGGACACAGAAGTCATCCTTGGCCAGGTGAGAGGACTGTCTCCCCAAGGCCCACTCTGGCTATGGTCCCCCCACCCCAGGACTGGGCAGAATGAGTTTCAAACCCCGAGTGCTGCCAAGGACACACAGGATGGCCACTGCATGAAGAGGCCCTTCAGGGCTCATCTGGGGCCCAGGTGGCCTGGGGGTGTGAGGGCTGAGCCCCCCACCCGTGCTTGCCCAGTGCTGGGTGATCTGTCAACTGTTCTGCTGTCCCACCCGTCAGCCGGGGACGATGATACGGGAGAGACTGGGACACATCCAGGCTGTGAATCCCACATGGGCAGAAACTGGGCCCCGGGCTCTGGACAGGCTCAGCCTTGCCCTATAGGCCTGAGGCAGCCCTGCCGGGACATCCAGTGGACTCAGCCAGTCCTGCCCCTCCCATGCCCAGGACTGAAAGCCAGGTCCCCTAAGGTCAACTGGTGTCCCCTCCCCATCTTGCTCTGGCCAGCTCCTTCTGGGGTCTTGTGCCCAGGCTCCTGGCCAGGACATCTGCCCTCACATCACCTCCTCAGGACTCATGCGGCCCTCCTCTGTGCACCCACCTCCTAATGCTGCTGACTTCTGACCTCTGTTCTCAGTGCTTCTCCTAGTGCTGAGTGAATGAACGAACGAATGAATGAGCTGCCGGCTGTGAGCCCAGGACTGTGCCAACTGCCCATCCCCCTCCTAGGGTGTGGGGGAGCCCCACAGCAGTTGACATGGTGGTGGGTCAGAAGGGGACAGGTGCCCCACCTGCCTGTTTGGGCCTAAGCCGATGGCCCCATAAATTGGTCTCAGTTTGGCCTCCTACGTGAGGGCTGGAGTCCGGGTAAGAGGATGGCTGAGGATGGAGCTCGGGATGGAGCCCCACTGTAGATGCCTGACCTACCAGCCATCCCACAACGGCTCAGGTGCCCCACTACCCCACTGCATCCACTCACATGGTTTCTAGCCTGAATGCCCATCAGGGTCCCGGGGCTGGGAAGTCCCGTGACCCACTCCCCACTATCTGGGGGCCTAAAGGACAGTGGCACCCAGGCCCAGGGGATGCCCAGTGGCAGGGGGACGCCTGGCAGACTGAGGGCCCCAAAGACCAGGCACCCCCAGGCCTGAAGGTCAGGGGAAGCACATCTCGAGTGGGGGAGCCAGAGGTGGCCGCAGGGTCAAATTCAGAGTTGTCTTTGCTGCCAGGAGTGGGGCAAAGCTAGGCTGGGGGCTGGGGGAGTTTGGGGAAGGGACAGGGAGATGTTGGAATAACCCCAGGTTTCCAGGTTGTACCTCAGGGTTGGAGGAGATGGAGAAGGCCTGGGGTGGGGGGCCCCCATCTGTGCCTGGCCTGGGCCTCCAGGGCCTGACTGGCTGGACCCGCTCTCCTGGTCAAACATGGCTCTGCATTTTCTGTTTTGTCCCCCAGATTAGCAGCCAGGCTTGGTGCAAAGGTGGGAACAGGGGCAAGGGAGTCTCCTCCCATGTGTGCTTCCCTCCCCACGAGGATCCACAGGATGGGAGAGGCTCCCCTGACCTCGGGGGCTACAGAAACCAAGGGAACCTGGAGGGTCCTGCACATTCTCCCCTGGCTCCCAAGCCCAGCCTCCCAGATGGGCACAGATTGGCGGTGGAATGTCCTCTCCCTTCCCCGTGGTCCCTGAAGCTGGTGGGGACCCTGATCCTGGTCTCCCCACCTCCCTCTTGGTCCCCTTCTCCTCAGACCGAGGGGACAGACGAATGAGAGGCAGTACCCACGAGGGCACGTCACTGCTCCTGGTGAGGTCAAAGAGTCCATGTCAGCCTGGCTGACGGGGCTGCCCCCACAGCAGGGCAGGTAGGGCTTCACCCTTCCCGAGGAACAGACGAACCTTGGAGCAGGGAGGATGGGGGAAGAAAGCCCTGAATAGTTTATTGACACTGATTTGAAGCTGGTGCGCCCCTCTCAGCTGCTGGACCAGTTGTGGGTTCAAGTATCCGCAAACTGTGAATGCTTGGGACAGGCATCACGGTGCGGAAGGGACACAGGAGCTGAGCACGCAGGCCCTGCCTCGGGCCCCTGGGATGTGGACCAGGCGCTGAAGGAGAGATACCAGTCCCGACTGAGAACCTGGGAAGGTCAGTGTTGAGCCCAGTGCGTGCGAGGTGGCCATGAATGCTCCTTTCTCTCAGGAACCCCTGTCTATCTGTAACCAGCCAGGGCCAGCAATGCGTCTCCAGGCCTGGGGCAGTTGGGACAGGACCACTGGCCTGCACTGCCCTCCATAAGTCCATGGAGACCAGGCTAGCCAGGCAGGAGTCACAGGTGAATGTGATCCTGGATGGACATGGCCCTGATCTCCAACAGCTTCAGGACGGTGTCCGTTCCTTGGGTGGACAAGAACCTGCAGCACCTGGACCCAGCATAGGGAGCGGGTCAGGGGCAGGTGACAGAGGAGAAAAGCAGTGTCTCTCTAGCTTTTCTGCTTAAAACTGACAAAAGTCAGTAAGAAACCAGGAACCTCGCCTCTGCAGCTCCTGGAAACGTGTGGTCTTGGGCTTGGGGGAGTGAGGGTGGGGGGTCTTGGCTACAGGACAGCCCTGTGGGCCCCTCACCCTCGGAGGGGCCAGTGCTCATGCCACGCCTCCCCTTGTCTGGACACCGTCCCGGAGAGGATGCCAGGAGGCCAACTGGCCTGGTGGGGGGGGAGGTCTGCCCACTGTGGGCTCGGAAAGGCGGAGGGGCATGGAGCAGCCCAGCGGTCCCTGTAGGCTCTTGGCCGCTGGGAGCGGTCTTTCCCGAGGGGCCCAGACCCCACCTGGCTACACTCTCGAGCCTGGCTCAAGGACGCGGCTCCCAGTCCATCACACTGAGCCCCTGTGGGGAGGGAAGAAGCACCCTCGGGCAGCACCTCCTGTTGGGAGACAGTCACGCGGAGTCAGGGGCCGTGTCCAGACCTGTCCTGAGGCCTTGCTGGGCAGTGCCTGTCCTTTGTGTGCTGGGTTCTCTCCAAGGCGGTGTGCGGAGTTGTGGGTGGGTCCCCGGGTCAGACGTTGCTGACCCGGGCCTCCACCGAGGAGATGGCAGTGGGGCCCGTGTCCCTGTCCAAGGGCCGCTCACGCCTGACATAGCGCGGCTTCCGCACTGAAACAGGGTCAGAGACAGGCAGGGTCAGAGTGGGGCCGGGGACAGGCAGGATGGCCCCAGGTCCCAGCCCTCCCCAGAGCTCCTGGGAGTGGGGTGTGGAGCAGCCCAGGGGAGGAGATCCCACTGAGCCCCAGCTTGTGCGTGGAGAGTGTCTGATGAATGCTCCACTCACTGCAGACACTCGGTGCCCCTGCACCCCAAGCACCTTGGCCTGGGTGAGGACCTTGCTCTCAAGAGACACAGAGACAACAGGTCCCATGATGCACAGCAGGGCTGGATGGTGGCCCCCAAATGAGTCCATGTCTGAAGCCCCAGAGCCAGCAGATGCGACCTTACTTGGAAAAAGGGTATTTGCAGATGAGATTAAGGATCTTGAGATGAGATCCTCCTGGATTATCTGGTGGGCCCTAAATCCAACGACCAGCGTCCTCTCAAGAGGGAGGCAGACAGAGGAGACCCGGGAGAAGCCACGTGAAGATGGGGGCAGAGACTGGGGTGGTGTGGTCACAAGCCCACCAGAGGCCGGAGGAGGCAGGAAGGACCCTCCCCTAGAGACTCTGGAGGGACTGCCCCCCAGCCCCCACCTTGACTTCTGACTTCTGGCCTCCTGGACTGTGAGAGAATACATTTCTGTTGTTTCAAGCCCCCAGTTTGTGGTCATTTGTTACGGTGGCCCTCGGAGACTAATGCAGGGAAATTCAAGATGCTTGTAGATGGTACCACTTTAGAGACATCAGAGACAGGTATTCTACAGAACAGAGCAGATCTAGCCTTGGCCAATAACTTCTCTGTCCCCAAAGAAGAGGAACATCCTCCCCTGTCCCAGGCCAGACCTCTGCACAGTGGCAACACCACAGACTGGGGAGGCCAGGAGGCTCCCGCTCCAAGGCCTATAGCCGTGTAACCACGGCTCACTTAACCTCTCTGTGCTCAGGGTGTCATATGGAACAGGGCTGATACGGGCGCCTGTTCCTGGAATCATCTGAGGTGGGGCACGCCCGACCCAGCAAAACTGCAGTGCCAGCCACTCAGGAGGGACCACGGGAAGGCCTTATGCCTGGGCCAGCCTGCTCCCCACACCCACCGCCCAGGTAGAGCTGGGACTTGGTGAGGGCCAAGCGAAGCTTCAGGGGTGGCCCCAGACCCCGTGCTGGGGATTCTCGTTCTCTCCCAACAGACTCAACATGTCAGGAATAGAAAGGAATAAAAGGGAAAAGGAAGGAGAGCCGTGGTTGACTGGGGGAGGACCTGGCCCATGTCCTGAGAGTTGCAGGGCCAGGGGCCCGCAGAGCCCAGCCCTGCAGTGTCGCTGGAGAGCGGCCGATCCCACGGGCAGGATCATTTTGCAATGTTCACCCTGAAATGAGGGCCGACATACCTGAGGGCTGTGGCGGGGGAATCATGGCAGCCTTGAAAAGGAGAAAAGGCACAGTGAGAACAGCGGGCGGCCCCCAGCACAGAGGCCCACGACAGGGGGCACTCGGCCCATCCTTCCAGGTTACTTACGGCTTCGCCAGGCTGCAGGGCAGGGGCTGTGAACAAACATGGGTGTCACCCGGGGCAGGGGTCCCTCGCCTGGGGAGGGGGTCCACGGGCCTGCAGAGGCTCTTCCCCGCTCCAGGCTCAGCCCAGTCCCACCTCCACACGACTGCCCAGCAGTGCCCGGGGCCCAGCTGTCTGTCCCGCCCCATTTCCCACCTGCTCTTGGGGTGGTGGGCCCCCAAGCACCCCAGGGGGAGCCGCCCTCCTAGGCCCTTTGGCAGAGCGGCAAGCCAGCCCTCAGAAGGCACAGTGCTGTTGGTCTCCAGCACCACCAGGAAAACAGGCAAGAGCATCCTTCGGCCCCAGGGGAGGCCCAGGGCTGGGGGCAGGCCTCAGGGAGACCTCCACTGGGGAGGTTGCTACGCACCCCTGCCCTCTCGGTGGCCACCTCAGCTGACCAAGCCCAGCCCTGGGGGTTCAGGAGGAGAGACCCTGAGTGGGTCTGCCCCAGCCACTGCACTGATGCACCAGGACCCCCGTGGCCCCTGCTGAGGAGCAGCCTCCCAGCGCTGACCCGGAAGGGGCCCCCCTGGCTGGCCTGGGTCAGGACCTGGGAGCTACAGCAGCCCCACTCGGGCACCCAGCACTGGCTCCGGGTGGGGGGACGGGGTCTCACAGAGGCCAGGCGAGGAGGCTCTGGCTCATCACCCACTAGCTCTGTCCACGGAAGGGTCCGACCTGGTGGCTGGACCACCTGCCCAGCACACCCAAGGGCACAGCAGGGTGACGCCCATCTCTTCCGGAGGGGGGCAGATCCGGCACCCAGGCCCAGGGTGAGCTGGGGCGGCAGGGGGCCCCACGGTCCCTGCACCAGCCTGCCCACCCCCACTCCCGGGGGGCAGGATGGGAAGAGGGCACCGCTGGCTGGGGGAGCTGCGGGCAGGTGGCCCAAGACCAGGGATGTCACCTCCTCCCCACCCCGTCCCACCCCTCAGCAGCAACCCCGCCATGATGCCCCACGATGGAGTCACGCCAACACCTTCACTCTGAGCCCCACAGAATCCACATGGGAGCATCCCTAGGACGTGGCTGCCCCTCTTACTCTCAGACACAAGAAACACATGGCAACCCAGTCCCCTTCCTGTTGTTGTGTGAGGACTCTTTATGGCTGGACAGCCTGCATCTTGCACCCCAGCCCCAGCCCCCACTTCTCTGTGCCCCCCAGGCAGCCCCGTGGCTCCACAGGGGGTGTGCACTGGTCGGCACCCTTCTGGCCTGGAATACCTTTGTTTCTTCCGTAGAAAACCTTGGGGAGTTTACTGGTGCGCTTCAGGTAGAAGAACCCAGCCACGGACAGGATGAGGCCAGAGCTGATGAAGAGCGTCCCCAGGAAGAGGGAGGCTGCCACCTGAGGGCTCCCTGTGAGCAAAGTGAGTGGCTGCCAGTGGCAAGCCTGGGCGGGCCTCAGAGGACCTCCCCAGGCCCCTGTTCCCCGAACACGCCTGGGCCCTCACAGGGTTCCACACTCAGGGCTCGGGTCCCCCCGCAGACCCAGAACCTGGCTGTGGGGTCTGAGGTGCTCCAGCTTCCTAGGCCTCAGGCTTGTCACAGGGAGGTGGGGTACCGAGGGGGTTAAAGATTCCAGCCCCTGAGAACGCCAGGCCCTGGGGTCCCCATGTCCCTCCTGAAGACTCAGCACAGACTATGGGGTCCCAAATCCCTGGCATGCCAGGTCAGACCTCAACTCAGAGGCAGGGGTTGCCTCTACACCCTCGCCTCGTGGGAGCTTGTTCCTTGCCCCTAGATGGCCTTCCCAGCGCCATGATGCCCGTCTTTACCTACCCGGGGTCGGGATGGGCTGGCGGGCCCGTGGCTGGGGCTCTGGATGGTAATTGTGGGGAAAGTGCTCTTAGATACCTGTGGGGAGGTGGCTTTCTGACCCTGAGACACAAGCAGGAGGTGTGGCCATGGCTACGTTGGAACCTAGAGGGGGGATGAATTCCGGCTAATTTGGCGTGTCCTGCCCCAAATTTGCGGCAATGAAAATGGGCTCTAGAGCCAGACTTGCCGGCCTTCCTCCACCGATACCCCCACTGCCAGACCCAGCACGGTGTCACAGGAGGTCGGGGCCGTCTGCGCTGACCCCACCCTAAAACTCTGCTGCTCTGGTGGCCGGCCTTGGGGGCCCAGGTCAGCGCAAGGCCATGTGCTTCTGGTCCTGAAACTTGTGCAGAAAGCAGGAGCCCTCAGTCCAGGTCCAACACGCCCTCTGCTGAAGGCCCAACGTCTGGGGGACACACAACCCCCATCACAACCTGGTCACCTGACAGGAGGTGACCACTCCTGGGGTAGGTCCTGCTCCCTGACTGCAGTGGCCCCTGTGGCGGAGCTAAGCCTCCGTGGCTGGCGGACCACATCTCAGATAGGATGGGATGCAAGCTGAGGACAGAGTCTACAGGAGGTGGGCCCTGTGTCTGCCCCATGAGGACCAGGCGGTGTGGTGGGTTCTTCTGCCTGGCAAGCAGTGTTTGCAGTCTGAGCCCTATATCCTCAGAAGAGCCTCAGGGGATGGGGGCCAGGGGGCCTCAGGGCGCCCTCCCATCCCCAGACAACCGCAGGTCCCGAGTTCCCGTGCTCCGAGGTGCTGGGTGGGCCAGGACTGAGGCAAGGGGTGAGGTGTGCAGCTGTGAGGGTTTCCACTCACTGGAACTGCTCAGGGGCATGTGTGAGGGCCTCCTGCCTGTGCCCAGGGACCCCCGGCCCGGGGGCCGCCGACTCCACCAGCCCTGCTCTGTGGTCAGGCTGGGTCCCTGTCCATACATCTCTTGCCTGGGGTGCAGCGTGACCTTGGCCGTGGCTGTGGCCCTACTGAGGCCAGCGTAAGTGGTCGTGTGCACTGGGAATGGCAGATGATGGCCCCCTCCTCCACCAGGACCTGGGCAGAGGCCCTGCTCCCAACTGGTGAGCCAGAGACTTACCGAGATTTGGCTGCCCGGGCATTCCTGTGCTCCTGTTCAGCGGGAACTGTGCGCCCCAGCCAGCGACTGTGGGGAAGCAGAGCCGTCAGTGTGGCCGGCTCCCCGGGCACGTCTGGACCACGCGCGGGGACGCTGCCGGAGACTCCCAGGGAGCCAGAGACGCCGCCCAGTGGGGAATCACGGGCCAGAAACCAGAAAGGGAGGAGGCCTGGAGACAGAGCCGCCCTCAGCCCACAGTCCGCACGAGGACTCAGGGGGAGAGGGGACCGGGCGTGTGGGGGGGTGTCCCCTCGACGGACGGTGGTCCAGGGAACCGTGGGCCGCCCGCTGCTGTGGGGACAAGAAGGGCAACTCCCACCCGTTCCTCCCGCACTTGGAGACGTGGCCCCTCGGTGCGATGCGGGCCAGGTGGGCCTGGCGGGCGTGGCCGTGGGACGGCTGCGGCACTGGGAGCTGAAGGTGCCGTTCCTGCAGCGGACGCAGCTGACACTCCCGTTCTCGTTCCGGTGCCTGTAGCAGCCTGTGCGGGAGACAGTGACTCAGCTCTGCCTTCGGGGGGCTTTTCCATATCCTGAGTTTGTGAAATTGAGAACTCATTCAAGAATGCTAACTAGCTCGTTCTGGAAGTCTGGACCGAACGTCAGGTTTGATTTCAGAAAAAGACACAAACGCGGTGGGAGCCGCAGCGAGCTCTCACCCAGGGGCTCCGTGGGCTCCTTTCCGGGGCGTCTTGCAGAACACTCGGAGAGGCCGGGAACCCGAGGCAGGCAGGTGCCGTGCACGGCCCCATGCTCCGGGGAGGACCCCAGCAGCCTGACCACCGGACCCTCACCCTGCCCCCACAGGTGCCACAGGGCACGGCCACCCCCTTCAGGGGCACTGTCTCCAGCCCAGGTGTGACCCTTGCCCTCTGCCGCCCCCTTCCCTGGGGAGGTCCCAGACTGGCGCCACCGCCCAAACCCCAAGCTCCCCCGGTGCTGGGAGCAGCCCAGCTCCCACTGGCCAGTGGTTTGCAGACAGTCCGTTTTGCCAACTAGCCAGGGCACCCCTTAAGGGCAGGAATTGTGCACTCTACCGTTATTGCTTCTTCACATCCCCAACATATAGCACAGCGGCTGAGCAAACACGTGCTCGATCGATACTGAGTGCAGGTACTGAGCCGGCCCTAAATGCTAGCGCTGGCCCCTGGGGCAGTGTCCAGGGACACGTCCTTCATGATGAACTGTACTGATGTTTAATCCACACACAATGTCAGTGTGAGGTGAAGGCCTTTCTGCAGGGACACCAAGTGGACGGCAGGGTGTGAAGACTGACCAGCAGCCATGCCCATGATGCTGTGGGCAGACAGGCCCAGCACCACACCAGGGGGCCTGGGAGCGGGGGGCCCCGAACAGCTCCCCTCTGGCTGGCTCCAAGGTAACTGGGAGGCCCCGGGCTGGGCTGTTGTGTGCAGGGACAAGGGACAGCTAGAGAGCCAGGACCAGTGACCAGAAACACTAAGGAGCTAAGGTTGACTTTATGAAGCCCCTTTGAAAAACCACCTGACACCTGGCTTACTGGCTTCCCAGCCTCACAGGTGAGCAAGGAAGGTCACTTACGGGGAAGTCCAGGAAACTGAGGATATTTGGACCTCGAGAAGACAGGAATTCACCAAAATCTATACGTATTGAAGGTTAGGGCTGATGGCGAGTCCTCGGCTCGGCTTCCCGGCCTCGGGAGTCCAATCTAAGATTCCTTGTGGAAAGGTCCAGCAAGGCAGACTTAAAAAGAGTCTGAATGGTCAATCACTATTCTTGCTGCACTATGTAGATGATCAGGCCACGTTTAGCGAGGCTAGACTTCTTTTAAAAGCCAATTCGCGTCTCGCTGTTGATTATCTTTGGTAGAAGTGGGGGTGACGGTGTCTGTAACACATGTGTGTGGGTATCAGACTCCACTCCTGTTCATGTCTGAGGTTTTGTCACCTACCTGTAAGCTGCACCGGCCTCTGAAACCTTCCAGTCTCTTCCAATATTTGGCTACAACTCTCCAAACTAACATTTCCACTTTCCTCCCTCCCACCCTCCTGACTTGGAATCACTAAGAACTAAAACTGCCCTTTCCCCAAAGCCCTGCAAGCGGAGGCTGGATGTGTGGGTATGGACTTCGGAGAAATCACCTCAACGCCTCATGCCTGTTCCCGGGTGGGCCTCTCAGAAAGTTCACAAGCAGCCCCACAGCCTCAGCAGGGACATTCGCAGCACAACCCCGGAATTTGTCAGACAGCGCCTCTGCCATCCTGACTCCACCTAGTGGGCACTGAGTCCAACATCCAGAAGGGTACTTAGCTGACTGCCCTCTAGATTGAGAAACTAGACTTACAGTTTGCTGCAACCATTAACATTTGTTTTTCTTTTGTTTCCATAGAAATGCCTCTTACTAAATACCCGATTGCTCGCACCACGGAGGCTTCACTCTGGGGGAGGCCCACCTGCCACACCAGCTCCTGACACCTGCGCGTCAGCTTCACCGGACGGACCACTGCCAGGACTAGAGGCCCCCTCCGGTGAGGCGCGGGACAGCGTGCTCAGACCCGTTCTTTTCCTCTGGTTCCACCTACGCCTTTTCTCCCCCTTTGCTGGTCTCTTATCTCACAACTTCCAACCCAATTCTCTTTGCAGCTTGGCTTTTAATATGTGAAACTTTCTGAGGGTAAAGTTTCAAATGGGGGACGGAGGGAAACCAGAATATGCCTCTTCACACAAAAAATATTTCCAGCTAAAGACTCTTAAAAAACAGTAGGAGCAAAAAGGGCCCGGACCTCCCTTTTTCTCCCTAAGAAGCAGGAGACAAAGGCCCCACATGGAGGTCGCCCACGCAGCAGGAGGAAAGAAACACACTCGTTGCCAGAGACCGAGGGCCAGGCGGACTTACCCACCTCCACCCAAGAAGAGGCGGCCAGGCTGCCAGCCAGGAGGGAGGCTCAGATGGGGTCCTGTCACTTTCCTGCTGCTTCTGCCCATTCTTCCGGCCCCTCGCCTACCTCCCAGGCATCTCCAGCGTCCTTCCCAAGGGGCCTGTGTGCCCGCCTGCTCACACCAGCTATGGTGACCCCCACAGGGTTCGCAAGAGCACTGTCCTCATCATCAAGGCTGGTCAAGGTTGGCTGGTGCCAAAGCAGCTTACCTGGACCACACAGGCTTGTGCCCCTGCAGGTGGTGTTGACATCCACCACGTCCACACAACATTCAGGCTGCTGGCCCTAGAGGGGAGAGGGCGGTGAGTCTGCAGACCCTACAGCTGGGGCTCGGGCAGGACAAGTAGGCCAGGCTGAGAATGGCATCTGCAGAGGGGGTACCTCACGAGCTTGACCCAATGCCCATGGCCCTGGCCTCTTCTAAATTCCAAATCGAAAAAAAAAAAGTTCCGAATCAGGTGACCATCTCTTGCTTACCCAGAGCGAGGTGAGGACACACAGTCACACCACACGAACACTTCCTGGGACAGAACTTCATGTGCCCAGTGAGTGTTTGATGACTGAATAAACATAAGCATGTTCCTAAGCACTCAGATTCCCAAAAGCCAGGAAGGGGGATCCCTGGGGGCCCACTCAGAGATTCTGACCAGGGTCCTGGGCTGGCGCAGCCTGGGGGGCAGGGAGTGGTCCTGGGGACACCTGCCGGGCCGTGGGTGCTCGGCGGTCTGTGCAGCCACTTCCCTCCCCTGCCAGCCTGCCTGACCACTCGGCCTCGCCTGGGAGCTGGGAGGGGCCGTGGCGCTTTCCAAAGGTGGGTCTCTTGGGTTCAGGGCAGAGCTACTGCCACTCAGCCCCATGGACACTAGTGGATATTGGGTGGGGCACTTCAATCCAAAAAATTATTTATAGGCATACCTCGGTGATACTGTGGATTCGGCCCCAGTACACGATAAAGTGAATCAAGTGAATTTTTTGTTTTCCAGCGTATGTAAAAGTTATGTTTATACTATAGTCTCTGAAGTGTGTAACTGCATTGTGTCTAAAACACAATGTACATGCCTTAATTTAAAATACTTTACCGCCATCTAGAACTAATGATGTAATGTATGGGGATTAACATAAGAATAAAAAAAAAAAGAAATAAAAAAAAATAAAATAAAATACTTTACCGCTATAAAATGCTGACCATCACCTGAGTTTTCAGCGGGTCATAATCACCGATCAGAGGTCACCATAACAAACAGGATAGTCATGAAAAAGTCTGAAACGTGAGGATTACCAGCACGTGGCACAGAGGCATGCTGTGAGAACGACGTGTGCCCGGACGTTACCCACCACCTGCCAGACGGTGGCTTTGAAAATTAAGCAATTAAAGGTGCTAAACCCTACTTCAGCGCCACATGTGGACTCCTTCCCAGAAAAGGAAACACACGTTTTTCTAGACTGTAATAAAATACGAAGATAAACCCAGACACCCATGGCCTCCCCGGTGAGGCGTGTCTGCCCTTTGCACCCCAGAAAATGGTCACCCCACGGGTCCTGGTTGCTCTTCTCAGCGTTCTGTGGCTGCCCTCCACCAGGGGTTTCCAGCAGGGCCCCTGCAGAGGAAGTGCCCAGAGCAGGACAGGTTGTGGGGCAGGAACTCACGCCTGCTGTGTGCATATGCGGGGGGGGCACTGAGTGGGGAACAGATGTGCCAAGTGCTGGCATTTACAGGACCAGACTCGAGGGGCTTCCCGTGGGAGCTTGGCTCAGTGTGTGTTTATCACAGCTGAGCTTTTGTTTCTTGTGACGAGAACACAGTGAACAGTGAGGGGTGTCTAAGGAATGGCGTGGACACTCCATGCCACCACAGGAGGGGTCCAAGGCCAGTCCGTGGCTGAGGCCAAGCCCACGAGGGACACTCCAGCCATCCCATCCCACCCAACCCTGGCAGAGGCAGAGCGGCTGAAGGCCTCACCCTCCGGAAGGCCTGGACACAGCACACCCATGTCAGCGGCCTGGGAGAGCCAGGACACCCGGCCACAGGAGGCCTGCGGCAGACCCTGCCTAGTGCTGCTGCGTGCCTGGACACGCAGTCTCCAGCCACCCGAAGCTGGGCGGGCAGCTCGCAGGCTCCCCTCAGTGCCAGTGGGGGCAGCTCTGCGGAGACCCTTTTCCAGCTACAGTAACAGGTTCAGTTTGGCAAAGAGGAAAAGAAGCTTCTAGGGGACATAACAGAGCAGGTGCCAGGTGGGGGGCATGTGCTTCTCTCCGTGAGGCACGGGCTTCTCTGACCCCAATAGCGGGCACAGTTGGTTGTCCTTGGGGCCAGGGCAAGGGTGACCCCCGAAGCTTGCCAGGTGAAGGGCCCACTGCCTCCACGAGGGGCTGGGAAGACAGGGTTTTGACTTGACTTCCTGGCACCCACGCCGCTGTGTGACCGGACACCTACCGCGCTTTCTGAGGATTTGCTGGCAACTTCCACCAGGAGGCCCGCCAGGAGGACGGCACGCTGGAGTGCCATGGTCCAGAACACAGGGTCTGCAACAGATAGGGGCACGGTGCAGATGTGGGTGCCTCCTTCCAGGGCACCAGGTGGGGGCCGAGGTGCAGGACCCTTACCTGGCCCTCTGGGATGGGAGCTGCAGACATCCAGAGGCGGGGCCCAGGGCTTAGCTGGCAGGGCGGGGCTGCTAAGAAACCGCAGATCCCTGGTCCCAGGCCTGCAAATCAAGGCAGTCGGTGAGGCCCATTGTTGGTAGGCTCAACTGACTTACCATAAGGAGCCCCCAGAGCTGAGGGACTGGAGGGGCTGTGCTCAACCCATCTGGATCTGGATCTGGATCTAGATGGACTACTCCTTCCTCCAAAGCTTTCAGCCATTCATTGCCTCCTGAAAGGACGAAGCAGAAGGGGGTTCTACTCATGAGCTTGGACAGGACTTGTCCATCTGCCATCTTGCTCTGTCCTAGGAAAACCCCAATTCAAGCATTTTCACCAAGAGACAGAACACCTAGGCAGTGAAACACCCCTGGGGCCAACACAGGCCAGTCAGGGACCCTCAGCCTTATGATTTTCTAGTATTCCCCCTGCTCTTGTCATGGAAACTGCAGGAACAATGTCATCTTGGGTGATAAAAGTACCATCGAAAGCCATGACTGAGGACAACGCCAGAGCAGAGGACTTCTGATGGAGGAACAGGCAGAAGGAACAACAGACAGCACAGGGCCACACACTGCAAGTGCATTTCCTGACACTGGCAAATGCAAAACTCAGCAGCCCGTGTGAGTTAGGACTTAAGCTGTCACATTTCCAGTGTGACCAGAGAAAACTAACCTGCACAAACCCTGCAGTAGTTAAAGTTTTAAACAAATTTCTGTTAACATGCAACATGGTAACCATAATTACAATCTGTCTGAAATGCAGCTGGCTAAATATTTTGACATCAGCAGGTGGGTGGGTAAAAGCAACGTTGTACACCCTCACCATGGAATTATCATTCAGCCATAAAAGGAATGAAGTGCAGATGAATCTAAGGATCATTAGTTCAAGTGGAAGGAGCCAGGCACAAAAGTGTATATACTGTATGGCTCATTTACATAAAATTGGTGCTGATGGACGCCTGGATTGTTTCTGGATTTTAATGGCTATAAATAAACCTGCTGTGGACTTTTTTTACGTGTCTTTGTGTGGACGTTTAATTTCTCTTGGGTGGATCCTTAGGACTGGAACGACTGGGTCAAGGTAAGTGTGTATTTACCTTTCTAACCTGCCGATCTGTCTCCCATGCTGGAGATCCCATGCACGCTCCCACCAGCACTTGGCATGGTGTCTGCGGGTGGGCGGTGGTAGCTCACTGTTGCTTTAATTTGCATTTCCCTGATGATTAATGATGGCTCTTAGCTCTCATGTGTTTATATGTCTTCTTCAATCATTTGCCCATTTTGTTTAATTGGCTTTCTATTATTGAGTTGTAACAGTTCTTCACATGTTTTTCGTCAGATATATGCATTTTTCAGATATAAATATTTTGCAAATATTTTCTCCCATCTGTGGCTTGCCTTTTCATTTTCACATGGGTATCCAGAAGAGTAAATGTTTTCACTTGATAAAATCAAACCCATCCATTTTCTCTTTTATGATTCTTGCTTTTTTGTGTCCTAGGGTTAATCTCTGCCGTGACCTCATAGTCATTCCTATGTTTTATTCTAGAAGTTTTAGAGTTTTAGCTTTTACACTTTGAGTTACTTTTGTGTATGGTATGAAGTAAAGATCAAAGTTTATTTTTTCCATATGCATGTCCAGGAGTTGCAGCACTGTTAAGACTTTCCTTTTCACGTTATCATGACATCTTTGTTGAAAATCAACTGAGTGTATGTATGTGGGTCTATTTCTAGACTTTCCGTTCTGCTCCACTCACCTATGTGTCTATCCTTCACGAACACCACAGTCTCAATTATTAAAGCTTTACTGAAATCTTGAAAACTAGGTAGATAAGCTTTGCTTTGTTTAATTGCTGTCAAGTCTAGGTTCTGTGCATTTCCGTATTTTAGAACCACTTTGCCAGTTTCTACAAAAAAGCCTGCTGGGCTGGGGCGCCTGGGTGGCTTGGTCAGTTGAGCGTCTGTCTTCGGCTCAGTTCATGATCCCAGGGTCCTGGGATCGAGCCCCACTGCCTTCGGCTCAGGTCATGATCTCAGGGTCCTGGGATCGAGCCCTGCATTAGGCTCCCTGCTCAGCGGGGAGCCTGCTTCTCCCTCTCCCTGCCGCTCTGCCTGCTTGTGCTCTCTCTATCTCTCTGTCAAATAAATAAATAAAATCTTAAAAAAAAAAAAAAAAAAAGCCTGCTGGAATTTTGGCTGGGATAATCAACATTTTAACAATATTGAGTCTTCCAATCTATGAATGTGCTATCACTCCCCATTTCTTCAAGTTTTCTTTTCAGCTCTCTTCTGAAGTTTGCAGTGAAGAGGTGGTCCTGAGCAGAAAGGGGTTCTGGACAAGTCAGTCCTATACACGAGCTCAGACTACTTAACAAATAAGTTTGTTAAACTTATTACTATATATTTTATTTTTTGGTATTATTGTAAATAGAACTGAATTTCTAATTTCATTTTCCAATAGTTTGCTGCCAGTACATAAAAATACAATTAAAATTTGTCTATTAGCCTTAGTTTCTGAAATTTTATGAAATTCACTTGATAGTTCTAGCACTTTTTGTAGATTTCTTAGGATATTCTACATAAATAATCATGTCATCTGCAAAAAAACTCAGCTTTACTTCTTTAGTTTTTTTGAAACTTGTTTTAGGGCACACACTTGGTCTATGTTAGAGAATGTACAATATGCACTTAGTAGGAATTTGTACTCTGCTTTTGATGGGTGTAGCTTTCTACAAATAGCAATTAGGTCAGGATGCCTGAGAGTAGTGTTCAGATCCGCTATGTCTTTACTAATTTCTTTTGGGTTTTTGTTCTAATATTTGGTGAGAGAAAGAGATGTTAAAATCACTTATTATAATTGTGGAACTGCCTAATTATGTCTCTAGTTCTGTCAATTTTGCTTCATTTATTTTGAGGCTCTGTTATTAGACACATTTATAATTGATAAGTCTTCTTGATGAAATGACCCTTTTATCATTAGACATTTCCCCTTTATCTTTGGTAATACTCAACCTCCTGAAATCTATTTTATCTGATATAAATACAGCTACTCCAATCTTCTTATGTTCACTGTTTGCAAGATAGATAGATGGATAGATCTTAGATCTACAGATATATTTTGCATCTATATATCTTATTTTCAACCTGTGTTTTTTATATTTAAAGTGAATCTCCTATATACAGTATGCAGTAGGTCTTGCTTATTTATTCATTGTGACAATCTCTTTTAATTGGAGAGTTTGGTCCATTAACATTTATGTAATTATCACTATGGTTAGACTTAGGTCTACCATTTTATTACTTGTTTTCTACTTGTCCCTCTGTTTTGTTTTGTCTTAATATATAAAATATTTTTATATTTTTTAAAGATTTATT